ATGGATAAAGATAAAATGGAAATAGATTTTGATTAAAGATAAGGAAAATCTTTTAAGTAGACCAGAAGAACAAAGAATTTTAGTTAATTCAGGTCTTACTAATTTCAAGTCTGGTCAATTGCGTGGTCCATTTACCATCTGATCAGTAAGCATTTGTATACAATGTTATGGTGATAGATCTATTCTCATTTTATTTTGTTTTCTGTCTGTATTTTTCATTTCTTTACTTTTCCCTGCCTTCTGTCCTATTACTTGAACATTTTAATTTTCTCCTTATCAATTTATTACTATTGGGTCTAGTAATAATTAATGTCGTTTTAAACATTCGTTTAAAATCTTGCTTGGCGTTGACTTGTATTGACATAACCTTCAAACACGTGGTATCTACAGAACGTGTGAAGTGCAATTAACAAGTTTTTCTTGAAAAAGTTTGTGTTTGGTTTGGTTTTTGTTGCAAAACTAGGGCTAAGAAGATGGCGGATGAAGAGCATATTCGGCACTGCATGCTTTACGAGTTCCAATTAGGAAGAAAAGCAAGTGAGGCTGCAAAAAACATCTGTAGTGCTCTTGGTCAAGATGCAGTTAGCGCCAGAAAATGCCAGCGTTGGTTTGAGAAATTTCGCGAGGGGAATTTTTCGTTAGATGACAAGAGTGGTCGAGGCCGTGTGTCCAATTTTGATCAAGAAGCTCTTCAAGCTTTTTTGGTGCAAATCCTCAAATTACCCAACAAGGGCTTGCGACAACTTTAAATTGTTCACAAAAAACAATTTCCAATCAATTGCGTGCACTTGGCAAAGTCCAAAAGTTTGGAAAATGGGTTCCTCATGAGTTGACCGACAACAACCGTAATCAAAGAGTCACAATTTGCAGTTCGCTCCTCTCTCGTCAAAACCGTTTGCCGTTTTTAGAGCAAATTGTTACCGGAGATGAAAAATGGGTGCTGTATGTTAATTTGAAAAGGCGGCCTCAATGGTTGGACAAAAATGAGGCTCCGCAGCCCACGCCAAAACCTCACTTGCATGCGAAAAAAGTGATGTTGTGTGTTTGGTGGAATTTTAAAGGAATTCTTCATTATGAACTTTTACCATCTAACCAAACCATTACAAGTGCAGTGTATAGTGCCCAATTGGAAAGGTTAGCCCGAGCTTTAAGAGAAAAAGAACCCGCGCTGATTAATCGGAAGGGCGTAATTCTTCACCATGATAACGCACGACCGCATACTGCAAGAATCACTGCTGAAAAACTGCGCCAGTTGGAATGGGAAGTTCTCCCTCAACCTGCATATTCTCCTGATATTGCCCCTTCCGATTACCATTTGTTTCGTTCTTTGCAAAACTTTCTTCTTGGAAAAAAATTTAATAATGAAGAATGCCTCAAAAATGCATTGACCGAATTTTTTGCATCAAAATCACAAGAATTTTACAACAGAGGGATTAAAATGCTTCCTGAGCATTGGGCACAAGTAGTAGAAAACAACGGCAACTATATTGTTGATTAAATTTTGTTGTATTGTTTAAAGAAATTCGATTTAAAAAAAGGTATTAGAAAACGACATTAATTATTACTAGACCTAATATTTTTAAAATCTTGCACTGCACAATAGAAATATGTTGGCTAAACTAAGTAAAATCCTCATAATTAGATAAGACAAACAAGAATACGCCGAAACCGGTTTGGCTCAGTGGTAGAGCATCGGTCTGAGGACTGAAAGGTCCCGGGTTCGATTCCGGTCAAGGGCATGTACCTTGGTTGCGGGCACATCCCCGGTGAGGGGTGTGCAGGAGGCAGCTGGTCAATGTTTCTCTCTCATTGATGTTTCAGGCTCTCTATCTCTATCTCTTCCTCCCTGTAAAAAATCAATAAAATATTAAAAAAAAAAAAAAGACAAACAAGAATAGTCATTCTTTATTGGATACTTACTGTGATCAAAATACTGTAGTAAATGTTTTACTGATGCTATCTCATAAAACCCTCAAAACAATCTTTTGAAGTAGAAGTTTTATGCCCATTTCATAGATGAGAAAACTGAGGCTCAGGAAGATTTTTTTTAAAAGTGTTCAAGGATAGTTGCTGTAAAAATTTATTTGATTCCAAGTCTATTTGATTCCAGAGTTGATACAGTGGCTCACATATACTATTTATTTTTGGCCACTTTCCAAGAAGTAAATTACTTTAATAGAAGTGGGATCTTAAAAGTTCTGGATAGCTAAGAGATATATTTTATTTTTAATTTCTCTAATCGTTTATTCTGCTTGGACTCAGTTTTTACACAAATTCAGAAATATACATAGCTAGATATTTTATTTTTATTATCCATCATTTATCAGAAAAAGGAAGCATCATTTCCCTTGAGAAATAAAGGGATAATCTGAGGATTTAAACTATTATTCTTCAAAACAAAAATTTAATTTGTCAACTTCCATAAACTTTATAGTGTCTCAGGAAAGCCCCAGAAACAAGAAGAAACATATCATTATTCTGTGTAAATTTTACTTTGTAGAATAGGCGAGGAGCCATTTTTTAAGATTGAGGCAAGCAAAGCAGAAGTTAAAGAAAAAATGTAGAAATTAAGAAATAAAAAAAACAACATCAGAGAAATAGAGAGATCAAACAATACCAAATTTAAAAGTATATAATAACTTAAGCGCTTTAACATGATACTAAAAATATTTCATAAAAATATTGTTTGGCTTTAGGTAAATTAAATGAGTATGTATTATAAAAATGAACTATTAAATACTCAGCCAGTTGTTAAGATTTTATTTTATGAAAATAAAAATTGTGTTGAAAAAATATTTATCCTCTTAACTGAAACCAATTCTGTAAGTTTGTGTAGATTCCTGGTATATATTTGAGGCAAAAGACCCTTAGTACTTACAATACTATTAACCTGGAAGGGAGAGGAAAACAATATGAGAATCCAGGAGTACATAAATCCTTATTTTACCCATTTCTTCCATTATGAAGTCCCCTTAAAGTTCCACTGGCTTAATATGTGAGATTTTTCTATGTCATATGTAGGGGCATTCCAATGGAAGTTAATCAAATTTTCTATTACTCTGTGTTCCCAGAGTTGCCACGAACTTATTATGATGAAGGAAGCTGGTAATTGCTCCCTAACCTTGTTCTGAGATCAGGGTGTGCTTTTCTAGGAAAATGATTTTCTCTTCATAAAGTTACCATGATTTTGGTAGGTGGAGAACTGTTTACTTGTAGGAAATTTTGCTTTTATTATTGAAACTAACCAACAAAGTATTATCTGGTTCAAAATGTTTTCAGTAAGTCCAATATAAGACACATAAAAACAGTTTAATTCTGGGTAATGTGGAAGTAGAAATAAGGGGACGGCTCTGTCCCTTGGTTATTCCATGTACACATAATTTTCCGTTGAACCTTTTAGAGACCCAACAGCACAACAGAAAAATCCTCTAAAATATGCATAGGTCACTAGATTAAGAATCCAAAGTCCTGTCAAGTCCCAGGTCTATCAGCAAGGTGTATTAATGAACCTCTATTGGGTCCAAATTTCCTCATCTGTGAAATAGAGAGATTGAACTAGGCATCTTTCAGCTAAATTATTTGAAGTAACCATTAGCAACTATATGCAAATCACAAAACTTCTGTGCTTTTTCAGTTCTCTTACTGCAAAATAAGATGCTCACTGAAGGGGGAAATGTCCATGCTTACCTCAAAATTCTGAGTATTAGATTTTTTTTTTTTTAACCCCAAAAATTGAAGGGTTGCCGAAACCGGTTTGGGTCATTGGATCTCCCGGATGCCCCATCGGCCTTTGGACTGAAGTGTCCTGGGTTCGATGCCGATCAGGGCATGTACCTTGGTTGCCGGCAACATTCCCATTGGAGGGTGTGCAGGAGGCAGCTGGTTGATGTTTCTCTCTCATCGATGTTTCTGACTCTCTATCCCTCTCCCTTCCTCTCTGTGAAAAATAAAAAGAATATATATATATTATTTTTTTTAAAATTGAAGGGCATGAAAGAGAAAAATGGCAATGTAAATTATAAAATTGTCCTGTCCTAAAACAACTTCACTGCCGCCATCGATCTTCGATCCACTCCAGCAAATAGCATTTGGTATTATATAGGAGTACCCTAACTATGGAGGTGGCTTCACTGTCTACGTCTAGCAGGAGGTCCTCCATCTCCCGGAGGCCTCCGCCGGTCCCCGAAGGACCCCGCTCTCCCGGGGGTTGCTGGAAATGGGTTGGGGCCCTCAAGAGGGAAGAGTTGGGTGGCGTTGCCCCAAGACCAGGCCTTTGAGGGTTCCGATGGGGGGAATGGTGAGTGACAGGCCCGTTCGTTCTTCCTTGAAACCTCCAAGTCCCTGGGACAGGAAGCCACAGCCGACATTAGTAGTTCTCCCAGCTCCATCTCCAGCTCCAATGGAGACCCCCTCATGCTGGAGAGAGAGCCACCCCCACCCCAAGATGGAGCCCATGGCCCCCCTGCCTCCGGACATGGCTCCCTACCTAGTCCCCACCCAACAGTTGACTTGAGCTCAAGGGCCACCACCCACCGCCCCCCACCCGGGCCCCATCTTGCCGAGAGCGGGCCTCTACCTCCCCCCCCCCCCCCCCCGGCCCGGCCCCGCCCCTCCCGGAGAGCACCCAATGGGCGGGGCGCGGCGGCGGCGGGGGCGGGGCCTGCCGGGCGCCTTTAAAGAAAGGCCGAGGGGGCCGGCAGCGGGAGAGGAGAAGAAAGCGGAGCCGGGAGGCGAGGCGCCGTCCAATGACAAAGCCCAGGGGTGGGCGCCGGCCGCCATCTTGCACCGGCGGCGGCGGCGGCGGCGGCGGGATCCCCCGCGTCCTCCTCCGCCCTCGGAGGGGGAGGGGCGGCGGCCGAGGCGAGAAAAGTAGCGACAGGCGCGCCGGGCGGTAGGCGCCTTCAGCGGCGGCCGCCGCCGCGGAGCCGGGCGCGGGGAGGAGCCGGCGGCGGCGGGGCCCGGCGGGCGGGCGGGCGGGCAGGCGGGCGCGGCGGCCTCCGATGCGGCGCTCCGGGAAGAGGCGGCGGCGGCCCCCGGCGGCCCCGGCCCCGGCCTTCCGGGGCGGCGGCGGCGGCGGCAGGGCCGGCGGCGGCGCCGGGCCGCAGGCGCAGGAGGAGAAGGTGGTGTACTCGCGCTCGCAGCTGTCGCTGGCCGACACCACCAAGGCGCTGGGCGAAGCCTTCAAGCTGTTCATGCCGCGCAGCACGGAGTTCATGAGCTCGGACGCGGAGCTCTGGAGCTTCCTGTGCAGCCTCAAGCACCAGTTCTCCCCGCGCATCCTGCGCAGCAAGGACGTCTACGGCTACGCCTCCTGCCGGGCCCTGGTGCCCGAGCCGCCCGCGCCCCCCGCCCGCGGCCCGGCGCGCAGGCCGGCGGCCCGGAGGGCGGCGCGGAGGAGGCGGCGCGGAGCGCGGGCGGCCGCCGCCCGCAGGAGGAAGCCGCCGCCGCCGCTGCCAACGCCGACGCCGTCCGCGCTGTCCCCGCCGCCGCCGCCGCCGCCGCCGGGCCCCGGGGAGAGCCGCGCGGCCGAGCCCGGCGCCCTCGGGCCCTGCTTCGGCGGCCGCACCCTGGAGGAGATCTGGAGGGCGGCCACCCCGACGCTCACCACCTTCCCCACCATCCGCGTCGGCGGCGACGTGTGGGGCGAGCGCGGCCTGGCGGCGGTGCGGCGCCGGGCGCGCCAGGTGCTGCGGGTGAACCTGGAGCCCGTGGTGAGGCTGCGCCGCTTCCCGGTGCCGCGGGCGTGAGCCGCGCGCGGCCCCCTGCCGCCTCCCCGACCCTCGGACGGACGGAGCTCCCGCCTGCAGGGATGGACAAGTGTCAGTCGAGTGTTTACAGACCCGGCCAGGACTCCGTCCCCCCAGTGCACTTTACGGGCGAAGAAGGCGAAGGAGTCACCGGACGGCGCGCCCCCGGCCCTGCGCCCCTGCACGCGGCGCCGCCTGCCGTCGGGGACCCCGGGCTGCGGAGGGAGGACACTGCTGGCCCCGCCGGAGGGGCTCTCCCCCGTCTTCTGACCCCACCACCTGGGACTCCTGCAGGGGCAGATCGCTCCCTTCTCTCTCCCTTTTGGACTCTACCTCACTGGTCTGCAAGCCCTCCGAAGAAGGAATTTATTTTTCCAAAGGAATTTGGTTTCGTGCTTGTGTAATAAAGTCAGAATTCACCCCTTTTTTTATACCCCTCCTCTTCCTCGATACCCTTCTTTTTTTTTTTTTTTCTTCCTCTTTGACTGCCACCCCTCTTCTGGACATGTTTTGTGGTGTTGCACTAGTTTGTGCTCAGGGTATTCTGGATCCCACTCGTCTCCTGATGTGAACTGGATTCCAATGCGTTGACCAAGGATGTTTCCTAAGCGACCCAAGCTTATGACTCTTGAAATCGTTGCGAGGATTTTGTACGGCTTTTGAACTTGCTGGGCGCAGTTGTGATTACAAGCAGAGAGATGCAAAAAATAACAGCTGTGTTCATTATATTTTAAGGTGTTTCTAAAGATGTTTTCTATTGAAACTTAAAAGTTTATATTTACTGAGCTTCTAAAGAAAAATGGTAGAAACTCAAAGTTTTGTTTAGGAAAAGTTGACTTGTTAAAACTTTTAAACATTGAATAAAAAAAAGTGCATTGAAACCACCTGGCTTGTGATTTAAAAAAAAATATGAATGCATTATAAAAAACAAAACACCACGTGTTGGTTAAAGAAATGGAATCCGATTAGAAATGATTTGGCCTCCTTGTATGGTGTAACATATAAATCCAGGAATATTTCAAGGATAATTTATTTTAAAGTGGGAGTCCAATAGGAGAAATGAACGATCCATTTTTGTGATTAAAATGATAGAATACTCACTAAAATCCTCAGAATACAGTCTAGAAGGGTGGGGGCGTTTCTTGGTATAAGTACCTGGTTGAAGTTACTTGGGGCAAAATAGACCTAATTTTCTCTCTCTCTCTTTGTTGTTGCATAATAAGAAATGTCCAGACTAATATCACCACTTTTATAAACATGTTAGTTGACTTTTTTGCTCCACCAGTTTCCTTTTTATCTTTTTTCTACTTAAATTCATGTTTGCAGTTACGGGTCTTCGGTAACTGAAGACCACAGGCAACCACACAGAGTTCGGACCCTCCTTTTACACTTTTATAATAAGTAGTGTTTATACCGTAATGGCCCAGCATATTACCCTAGATTATTCAAGTGCCTTTGGTCATTGGTGGCAGCAAGACTTAATGGTTTTGAGCCAGTGGTGCCACAGCCAGATTTTACTGTAATATCTATAAAGGGTCAAGTAGTGTTTTTGTACCACTATCATTTCAAATTTGGGTATTCTGCAATGGAGCGATCTGTAGTGGGCTGGAACTTGACATATGTAATACTCAATAGTAAGGTCTATCTCTGCTTGGTAGCTTCTTAGGAGAAAAAGGAGAGCTGCAATTTTTACTCTTGTGTTCTTAGAATTTAAATGGTATAGCTTTCTGAAATGATTTCCCTCCCTCACCACCCCCCAAGTTTAATAGTCCATGGTAGGAGCTTTGTGACTTCAATTTCAGTGTTTTTGTTTTGTTAAAAAAGTATTTTATATATACACATATATATATAACTTTATACCACTTTTTTCCAGTAAAGCATCATATTCTTTTATTCACTAGTCAGCAGTAATGCATTGTTAAAAATACTGTCACGTGAATAAATAAAAGTGAATAATTGGAAGATGGAGAGTATTAAATTATATTTGTGTGATAGGAAGCTTACCCATATTCTTTTGGTTAGCTTCCACTGCCAATGATATTTCACTTATATAGGGTTTCTCCTCATCCGTTCCCCTCTTCCCCCCTATTGACTTTGGCTAACTAGCCCCTGAGGGGGAAGACATTTGTATTTGTACCACTTCACTTTGTATATAGTTTTATAATAATTAAGAAATCTAATGGCCATATTAGAATAATTTCAACATACAGCTTATCTAGATAGTTTCCCAGAGGATTTTGAAATTAAGACTCAGCTGGGAGGATAACTTCCCTCAGCACAAAACAAACATGTTCACTGATACCATGCATTTATTGTAACAGATTCTTAATATATTTTTTTCTTTTATGCCTTGTTTCTTTAGTATACTTGAACTCACATAAATGCTTCTTTGGATTACTTGGGCTTTCTGACTTTTGTTTGGATATAATTGCCCTTTCTGAATACAGTGTTATTGGATTGACTAAAAATTCATGCCATTTCTAGTTTGTAAAAATGATGTAAAAAAAAAAATCATTATTTTGCCAAGGTTAGCATATGTTACACCTAAAATGTGAAGAAACAGCTAATATAGTTGATTAGCATATGAATAGGAAAGTGAAAGTACTTTATGGGTACTTTGGGGCAGAATGTGAAGATGAACTTGGCATGGTGGCCTTCACTGTGAGGCAGCCATTTTCTGTCCTCTAACATGAGTCTGTAGCTTAGCTTGTAGGTAGTTTTTGTAAGAAACCCTGTGATCTTTATGCATTTTCTTACCTTCTCATATCTCACATGGCACAAGTAGAGAGGGGAGGCCAGAAGGAAGTGTATCACCTTGCTATGCTTCTAATTCGTTTTTAACTCTTCAGTGCCTAAATGTGGTGACTGGCACCTTAAAATAACCTTTTGAAATTCCCCATGTCATTTTTTTATCCTTCCTGTCAACCAGCAACTTATTTTTGTGTTATGATTGTTGAGGGCAAGTTTCATTGTTGATAGTGCAAAGTGTCATTGTTGGGATGTGTATTTATTTTGTCAAAGTTTGAGTACCCTCTCGGGCGAGTGTAACTTAAGCCAGTGGCTGACACCTATTGATTTGTTATGTGCAAATCTGAAAACGCTTCAATAAAAAACAATTAAAAAAAAAAACATTAAAAATATTTGAATACAAAAAACTGAGCAATTTTGAACTCAGAGTTTTTTGTTGTTTTAAGGGATGCCACAGCATCCTTTAAATTGTGTTTTTTTAATGGACATATATTCATAATATTTTATCAGTGTGTAAAATATTTCTGGATGGGCTGTTATGTCTTAAGTGCATTATAAGGCAATTATTTGTAATGGAAGTGAATGTTTTTGGACAGTTTGATGTGCATATGAGTAAGATTTTACAATCTGGTTGTACTTTGCTTTTTAATTTATTAACTGTAAATAAATTTTAGAAAATACACAGTGTCTATGTTTTCTAATGATGTTAAAAAGTTTTTGAAATGGGATTTATGTTTACATGTGAATTGGAAAGCCTTTTAATATGCTATGGGATAAATTTTGACATTTTTGTGAACTTCAAACGCCTGGAGGTTTTGAGATACCGTATTTTCCGACGTATAAGACGACCCCCTAATTTTACAGTTAAAACGTAGGTTTAGGCCTATATTCGCTGTGTAAGACTACCCCCCACTTCCGAGGCAACACCAATTCTTTTTTTAATAGACCACCTCTCTGACTCTGGCCAATCTGAGCAGGCTTTTTACTAGAATACAGTGTATCTTCGGGTACAGAAAATACGGTACATGATTTGTGCTATCTTGGGAATCTATGTTACATCAGCTCTTTGATCTAGTGAGTCTCCAAGACAGTGCCTCAAGCCGAAACCCATTACCCGGTCTGTCAGCAATAAAGACTTTAAAAATGCATCACCATTTAGTTTTGAGTCCTGATTCCAAGTCCCTCTTGGTAGTGGTAGGGACTTGCCACATGCTCCCATATTCTGAAAGAAAAGTATATTCCATATGAGGAGCATCAGTAAGGGTTGTTTTCACAGTCAGACTAGAGCTAGACTTTTCATGACAGTCTAGAAGGTAGAGTGGAATATTAGCAAGGGCAGGATTCACAGCTCTGTGTGGCCTGATTTTGTCTTTGTACCTAAGTTCCATCAAAAATGGAGTCAGCATAATTTAACAGCCGTGAATCACAGCGCCTGGGAGAGAATAAAGGCTTTTTCGTTTGCATGAGAACTCTTGGGTAAGTTACATAAACGTCCTGTGCCGTAGCTTCCTTAAGTCTCAAATGTGGTTAGTAAGAGGATAGGTTAGTGAAAGGGTTAAAATGCATACTAATGGCGGACACGTAGGAAATAATAAATGCTGTTCATTGGAGCTATTAGGTATATAATGCTGAGAGTGGTCCTTTGGGAGTTTAGCATCCCAAGAAGAGAGTATGGTCTGGGAATAGCTGAAAGACAAGAGAAGGTAATTTGTGGTTAAATTAAAGATAAATCTGTATTATTTTTAGCCTGCTGACTATATAGCAGGAGGTTGGATTAAGTTGATTTATCAGACAGTTTTCATTGTTGGAGATTTTTAGACATTCTTAAAATTGTGGGGTCTTCTTTTATCACCCTTCAAAAACACCTTCATAACATGTTTAAAATGAGCTGCTATGTGTTTTAAACAATCTGAGAATTTATAAGAGTAATTGATTAAAGTTACTGACCTAAAAACTTGCCAAATTTCCACACTAAGTTTTCACTTGGAGTAAATTCATAAAGCTTGCTTAAGTACCATATTAATCTGCATGTACAGAACTAAATTGGAATTAATTTGTGTGAAGTTTGTACATCTTATGTTGAAATAACTGAGTACAATAGTTATGTTTGAAGCAGCAAAAATTATTACTAAAAGTAAAAAAGATCCTATTTGAAGCATTGATACTCATTTTTAGATTCGGGTCTAAAGCCTTTAATTCAGCTCTAATTCCTCGTGACACGAAGAATCAGAGAACACATTCTACCTTGATGAGCAAGCCAAAGGAATTTTCTTAGATAGAAATTATCCAGTAATAAGCTGAAAACTGCCTGATTTCAGATTTCACAAGATCACTGTCCACATTCATTTGTTTTGATAAGTGTCACTCTAAACCATAACCTATAACATTATAAACATATCCAGAGCCCACATGGAAGGTAAAGATCACAACTTCAAACACAATGGTTTGAATAAATATTCTACTGGAAAAAAAACCCCACAAAACTAGACTTCTTTTGCTTTTGAAAGTATACATAGAAATGTTACATGGAGATTCTTCCAAGTATTGAAATTAACTGTAAAGTGTGTGTGTGTATGCGCTACAGGCCCGATGCGCAAAATTATGATTAAAATGTCAATGAACATTAGAATACATGTTCTTTGGTGAACTTTTGGTG